TATATATATATATCGGTCGATCTTTCGTTTTGGTTGATGTAAATCTCTTTCAGCGCTCTTTTCCAGCTCCTTTTCCAACGACGATAGACCGCATTTTTGGCCTGGATTACATTCCTTATAGGCTTTTTCTTCTTGCCGTATCATAGTTGATTACTTTCTCTGCCATTAAAGTAAAATGAAATTCTTGCAAGCATTTTCTCTGCTTTACATTTTTGCTTGCTTGTGTGACTGACTATTAGAAGCAAACTATGCTGTAAGCCCTCTTGCAACAATCTTGCAAAGTACGCTTCTTAATCGCTCTGATTTTTAGTATTATCCAAGACAGTTACACGCATTCATTCTTCCTCTTTATAGTACACTCTTTGCACCTACAATTAATTTTACGACTTGTACGTATCACTTTTTCGTTATTGTGCTCATTCTTCGCTTTTAGATAAAAATATCAGCAGCGTAATGATAGAAAGCATTGCTTTTTAAGGCATTTTTCAGCATTAACAAGTTCATCATTTATACAAGTATTTGCACTATTTTATTCTGTTTGCTCCTTTCAAAAATTTTAATTATGCTTCTCTTAATTATCATGTCTACATTTATTTATCCTGTTCTTTTCACTTCTTTGGAGGTAAAAAATGTTTGATTCAATTGAATTCTCAAACTTACTATTTATAATCAGTTAGTCATTCAAGTTAAAGTATTCATGTGAACTATCATACATTGCGTTTTTTATTTTGTTGCATGAATGAATTGGTTTGAGAACTTTTTCATCAAATCCCCGTATAATAGGATAAAATTTGGTTGCAATTTTAATGGATTGCAAGAGAAATTCTCAGTTTAACGTGAGGAAGGATCATTGCGAAGTGATAGTAAAAAGCGCAATTGCTTTGGTCTTTATCCGTGGATTGTTGCCGTTACTCACATGTGCAGTTCAAATGAATATCGATACCGTTTTCTTAACTTTTTCTGTCTTGTTGACTACCGTTTTACTGTAAGCAGCGTAATCAACTTTATACTCGACTTTGCAAGTCGCACTTTTGGTATTGATAGCAGTATTTTATTGTTTATGTGGTGAATACTCCGGCGAAGCTGTACTGATACTTTTTAAAATCAAAATTGTACTATACAAAAGCACCTTCCTCTCGGAGACATTCCATGCATTTTTCTGGTTTCTAAACAAACAGTGCTCTCATGCACAGCAGAATGAGTACTAAATTTTAGTTTCATTTTCAAAGATATTTCTGAAAAGAATTGCTCATGGAACCATCCTCTTTAGTATAAGCACTACTTGTCAAACATTTCCGTGTTGAATTCTCTATCATTTTATTCTCTTCCATAATTACATTTTACTTACCTTGCGCTGCTAGCAGAGCACAAGTTTCTATTCAGTGTCCCAAAACGATTCTTCTCTACTCGATTTCTCCCTTACTTTCCATTTCCTTCCGCTAATCATATCACTTAAAACACACCTCAAATTCTTCACTAATCATTTGTTAGTTTTTCTTCTTTTTTAAAATAATTTCAAAGCACATTGTAGCTATTCATTTTCAGTAATGCAATTACTAATTTTGTTTCCATCATTGTTTACATCTTCTCTTCTTCATTATTGTTCCGTCTTTCACAAAGTTTAGAGTACCTCCAAAACTTTTCAGTGTATTTTTTGTAGTACCAATTCTTCATTACTGTTGACGTCCGTGAGTGACGTATTAGTGAAGGAACACCTCATCCCAGATCATTGTTTCGTTCACAGCCGATTCCTACAAGTAAAAGTAAACATAAATGGTGAGAAGTCGCAAAAATATTGCAAATAAGTCGATACTTCAAACGCGCAAAATTTTCTTTGTAATTGTACGAATTCTAAATTGGACTAAACTTCGTATGTGGAGCAAATTAATTAGTCTATTGCTGCTGAATTGATCGAATGCAAAAAATGGTGGTGGGAAACAGTTACTTTGCACATATTTATTTAAAATTTGAATTTTTCCAGTGAAATCAAAAGATTTTCATTTCAAAAGATGTCAGGAATTAAACAAATATTGTTTCGTGTAAAATGAATAATGGAGCAGAAAAGGCTTGCCCGTTGCTTCTTTCTTTCATTTATCAATTCTTCGTGTTTAATCTTTGATAATTGATCCATGAAATGTGGGTCTTTTGAGAATTCGTAATGAAAAAAGAGTGATTCGACCGCAGTGAAGAAGCAGTTGCGGACTGCTAATCTTGCACGCATTTGCCCTTTCCTGAGTACCAGCAAATGTGATTTATACTCTCGGGAATTACCAGATGTTGTGCTGATCGCATTCATTCCTACCTGGAATTTGCCTCTTCAAGAGGATTGGATCAGAAGAGTAAGGTCAGGAACAACCTGAAGATTGTTATGCTAACCATTCTTATCGCTAGAATCATTTTAATATCAGTTCAACCCAGACAGCTAATCATGTAATGCCTCTTTGATCAGTAAATAGTAATTACTTAATTATATAAATAAATTGCAATGTATATTTTCGCTCACCGTTTGCTTCGAAGCTGTGGCACATAATATTGAAATGATTACTGATAATTATTCACTCGTTTGTGTTTGCTAAATTTCATCGTTACTTTACGCTTACGCATTTATTTTCTGAGGCTAAATTGCATTTGGATCGAATTAATTGGTATAATACACATTAATATGATTTTTTTATGGTAATTACACCTTTTTTAATATTATTTATTCTAATGAAATATTTACACGAACTGTGTTGACTTTATTACTTCTAAATTGTGACTCATCTTTTCTCACTTAGCCAGTTGTGTTATGAGCAGTTTTAATTACTTTTGCATGAAGTCTTTGTTGCTTGGTCATTTATTTAATTTTTTTTCAGTATGTATTCATTTCATGATTTCTTACCTGTTTAACATGAGGCGTGGATGAATCACTGTCACCAGTCTACAGTTGACTGATCCCACAAATTGGTACCAGTTCTGTTTTCAATATGTGAATTGTGAAAGTTTCATTCTTAGTTTTTTACTTATCCTTCTGCTTTGTATAATTTTTAGTTCAATGGCAAATGTTCCGGAATGAACATGAAATTTTTTCTCGCATAACAATAATGATGCTTTTTTTTTCAGGTATTTACTTTGCTAAACATCGGCAATGCAGTCAGAGAGTATTGCAGAGAATACTTTGGTTGATAATTGTTCTGCAGGTGACTGTAATTTACGAAATCGACCGTTGCTATTGAGAATTAACGGAAAATTATACGATGTAGCATTATTTGCTGAAAAACATCCTGGGGGACAACAGGTTTTTGTCAAGAAAAACTTATCAGTTATTTGATTGATGAAAATTTTGTTTCTGATGGACGAAATTTCAAACTATGGATATTATGACTGCCTTCGGTGCTGACTATTTTTTTATTTATTATTTATTTATTTATTTAATTCAGATTCTGAGACGTTTAGAAGGCGAGGATGTTAGTGATTATATGAATGGCATGAAAAACATTAACGGTATTAAACATATACATTCCAAAGCGGCGTATCGGATGCTGGAACGATATTGCGTAGAAGATCAATATAATGTTTGTTCCAGACTTTTTTGGCAGCTACGTGCCAAAACTTTTCAACATATGATAGCTATAAAATTTTGAGTCGTTAGTTATTTAAAAATAAAATTTGCGAACACGTTTTCCAATTCCTGATTTAGTCATTTTTGTGAATAGATCTGAATGAATTGATTTTCAAACTTGACATCTTTTATTTAGCTTTGAGGGTTATTTCATTTTGAGATCATTTACTTTTTAGTTTTAATTTATGACAAATTTGGAGGATGATTGGTTGGTTATTCTTGACTGATTTGATGTTTATGAGTAAAAGTCTTCTTCACAGAGGTAAATATTGTTAGTATATTTTCACCAACTTCTTTGCAATGCTTTTTGAAGGAAACTGATGACTTACTTTCTAACGAGCCTATGTTGAAAAAAGTTGGTAATTTGGGTGATCGTTACTGGACATGGATTCACCAGCCGTATGAAGGTTCGCTTCGACTTTTCGAATCAAACATTCTTGAAAGTATGACCAGGACAAGTTGGTGGGTGGTGCCGCTAGTCTGGATGCCTTTTGTAATTGCTATTACTGTGCGTGCTTTTTCGATCGTTTTCCTTGACTATGGTACATTTTACATTGCTTTAACTTTTGTAATAAATGTGAAGAGAGCAAAAGTTTGGATTTAATTTAAAAGCGTGTAAACAGTTCCGTCCCTTCTGTTTTTTAAATGACATTGTCTTAGGTCGTCGTACATGTTTGACTTCGCTTTCATTGAATGTAATCGTCTGTTTTTAATCAGATCCAACTTCATTCAGCGCAAGTTACATTTTTAATCATTTATCTTAACATTAAACTTAATAATCATCATCCTTACTCTAATTTGGTAGTATTTTTTTAATTGACATCGAAGATATTTTTGCAGGATTTCTCTATGGATTGTTATTTTGGGCAGTTTTTTTCACGTTAGGTGTTCTCATGTGGACTCTACTAGAATATCTTCTTCATCGTTGTATATTTCATTGGCAGCCAAGCCCGAAGTCGCGTTTCCAAATTACTTTGCATTTCCTCTTACATGGATTACATCACAAGGTGAAACTTTCAGATTTCTAGGATGATTTTTCTGAATTTTTGTTTCTCCTATATATATTAAACTTACTATCAGTTTATTTACTATCATTCCGTTTTCATTGTTAATAATTTACATCTGATAATTCTCTTTCTTAGCTTTACTTTGTTCTGATGCAAACACTAAGTTCTATTTAATTGATTTCATTCTCTAATCTTCTGTAATTATTCGGTGAATCAACGCAGATTTTTGTCTTTAACTGCTAAGTGTAAAAGTCTATTGTTTGCATCACACTAAAATGAATTTCAGACACCTCTGGATAGTGATCGTTTGGTTTTTCCACCAATACCAGCTTGTTTTTTTTTCTCGTTTCTTTACTTCATGTTTGATCAATTACTTCCCTATGACTTATTTTACTGTTTTGGAGGTGGCAGTCTGTTCGGTTACATCATGTATGATTGTTTACATTATTACTTGCATCATGCAGATCCATTACCGGGCACGAGTCTTCATTATCGGAAAGTTTACCATAATAACCATCATTTCAAAAATTCTGATTTAGGTTTGTTTCTTTCAAATTTCAACGTTATTCTACTATTTCTCTGCATGTTATAATGTTTCGTCTGCGTACTTTTGATCGTGCTAGATTTTTATCAAGTTTCAAATTAATGTAGACGCTCAGTTTGACTGTTTTATAATTTTCATATGAGACAAAGGCAAATGCACATTGTATTCTTTAAGTTTAGTCAGTTATGACTAATTTTCTAGTGTTTGCTGAATTTATTTAAAAGCGCGCTAATAATTGAATATCTCAGCAAGTTCATATGAGCAGCATTTATAATCCAAAAATTTTAGAAAGCAATCTTTAAAATACGTAGATAATTAAGAAAACTGTTTGAAGATTATTGCAATATATCGCAAAATGATTTTTGAATACGCTTCTGTCGTGCACTGTTTAAACTTACCGTTGGTGTGATTATTTTATTCTTTTTAGCTTACGGTATAACGACAGATTTGTGGGATTACATTTTTAACACAGTTGGTGCTGGACCAATGTGATTTGTGTTGGGTGGTATTATTTCACATGTAGATTAAAAAAATAATCTCGCTTTCTGATATTGAAAAATTTTATGTTGTACAGAATTCAGAGATGCAAAAGAATGTAATTAATCTCTTGTAATATTGTTTCAGTGTAATAGAACCTTGGTTTCAGTGTGATAGAATTCCTGGTTTTGTGATGTTGAACAAGTTGATTAGGTATTTGCGTTGGCGATAATGCTGATTTGTTTGTGATAATTCATTAACTCAGTCATATCTTCGATTATTTCAGTTTCTTTTCTTTTCTTTCTGAAAAAATATTGCTGAACCACATGAAGAGGATCCTGTAATTTCACCATTATGTTAGATATCAAAGATTTGCATCGTAACAGAAGTAATACTCTCTGCTCGTTTTAATTTTAATTTTTAAGATATCGGTCTATTCAGTCATCGGAATAGATTGTGAGTATTAATTTATAATTGTATTCAAATATTAAGGAAACTTGCACTATGATATTTATTTCAAAATGTCGAGAATTCATTGCATTTGATCTTCTTGTTGCTCTTATAATTATCACATTCTGTTTTGCAAGTATTTCCATATTAATAAAACCATTTATAAAAAATGATTTTGTGCTGAATACAAATTTTTTGTTAGCTGTTAATTTTTTTCCACAACTGCACGGAAAACTTCATTGTTTTTCAAATGATGAAAACCTTTGAGCTCGAGTTGAACTGCAGATCGCAGAAATTGAGCAAAGTTACAGTGCTTCGCTTGAAGCTCTCTTTATTGGGTTTTCTCTTACCAAACACTAAGGAGTGTTGCAGTGGAGTGACAGAGAAGCAAGCAAATGCAGTATTCGAAGAAATCAGGAGATAACATACTTTTGTATGCAGTAACGCGATAGAGATTACCTGATGACTCATGCTGTTAACAACATTTATTGTGTTCACAGATTGAGGAGTTAGGTGGGCTACCTTTGCGTTCCGATAAATCCAGATATGATCCAAGATTGGTGTCCTCAAGGAAGTTTTCGTTGATCAAGTCTTGCATTCCTTAGATTGGTCGATTCTGCAGATTCAATATAAAACTCGAAAATCGGCGTTGTATTGGGATATGACAAGAATATAGAGCTGGATGGAACTGCTGTGGTTGGTTACAAGGTACTGGAATTGTCATCATTCTGAGATCAGTGTTTTCACAGAGCAGAAAATGTGGAGAAGCTTGGGGCCGTATTTCGTATTTAGGCAGGTTGGTAAAAGATTGCAGGGAAAAAGCTTTGAATTGTTCTGCTAGTTAATGATTGTGCAATGTATTTACGGTATTATTTGGACAAAGACGGTAATCGAGTTTATACTCTAAAGGTGAGCCATTCAAATCTTGTGCTGATAAAATCTTGCAGTGATGAATGGACTGATATATAACTTCTATCATTCGGGATTGAGAATGTAGCACCTTGAAGCCATATATCCATGTTCAATATCTAAAGCTTAGTATTTTCTATACATGTGCTTAGTTTCATGAGTTCTGAAAAAATAACTGATAGCTTTGCATCACTTGAGATATCCGTTATTCTCGTTGAAAACATAAACTGAAAATAAACTTCATGATATCACTGGTATGGATTGTCATATTCTTCTGAAATAGCTAGATAGTGATATAATTTCAACTTTTATATTGAGAAAATTAAGAGATGTCTTGTTATTAATTATTATGCGTTGCAGAGTACGCATTTGGAAGGCGAGAAGATTTACAGTGCCCATCCTGCTCGTTTTTCTCCAGAGGACAAAAATTCAAAATATCGAATCATTGTTAAAAAGCGTTTTGGTATTCTACCTACGATGTTACCGAAACCGGTTTTCTAATTCAGTGCAAACATATAGACTTTATAATGTTAGTTTGGGAGTGGAGACGGAAATGGCGACAATATATTCGTAATAGGCAACCACCTCCACGTTCGACGTATCAAAAATTATCCAAAAAGTTAGTATATTAGCATACTAGTCTCGAAAGCATTAAAGGTATCAGTTTTGTGGGATTTCATTTTATGGTGATTGGATGTATTCTGTTAGATCTGACTCGACATAAATCACAGGGTTCAGTCTTTCATTTCTTAGCCATTTTAATTCAATTTCACTAATGATAATTGTTTAGTGTTAGTAGGAACATGCGATGCAATAATCAATTAGTATTTTGTGTTAAATTATTCTGTCATGTAGCATCGATTCATAAAAGCTTGATATAATTCAAAGTCTATCTTGTCAGCCTTAATATTAAATTTCTTAAGTGTAGTTATGCAGCAATGGTTCATTTTTATTTATAGTTATGCAGTTAAGGTTTTTTTTCTCGGTTGAAGGGAAAAAAAGTTGAATGACTGAGACTGCTAATAGTTCCCGAATTTTTCCATTCAATTTTTTTTTCAGATACCAGAAAGTATCATTTATTCTTTTCGTAATAGGATGGCATCTTAGTGGTTTTGTGTTATGGAAGAAACTCACAGAAACAGTTAAAAAAAAAAGACATGATAATGTTTCCTTGCGTGATTTGCCAAGGAAAGGATTCTTTGAACTTGCCGAGGAAAAAGTTTTCGATGACAGTGATTTTGAAAATGATGACAATTGAAAGCACTAGATGTCGTATTAAAGCAAATTTTCTTCCCTAAAAATTACAAATTATAGTTTGATTCACGTATTATAATCATCACCGGCACATTAAATCTCATTTCCATCTACTCTCCAAATTCATTTTTAATTATAGTTTCAAACTTTTTTCTTTAATGTCTATGTTAGGTCTGAAAACTTACTTGAAGCTTTTATAACAATTTTTTTATTTAATGTCATGTTGTTGAAATCTGTATTATTGTCATATGTTCTGCATTGTAATTAATAAAGTTAGAGTTTGTATGATAGGTATTTGGAAACTGGTTATAATATGGATCTGGAGCTATATAAACTACAAGTTTGCTTGAAATTCTTCAGCATTTCTTTTTGCTAAGAGCTTGGGAAATTAATAGTTTCCTGTTTAAAAAAATGATACTGATATTGTACTTGCACACACTGCTATGTTTCGTTGCAATTTCTACGATCCAGCATTTCAAGTTTGGTCAGAATTATTTTGCTCTAGGATATCAAGTTTGGTCAGAATTATTTTGCTTTAGGATATCATAAAAGTCATATCAATGGAGATAAGTCACATTCATGTATAGGATGAGGGTATGCAGTCTCTGTGTAAAACTCAAGGGTGGTAGTGTTTCTAAAAGTTCAAGGAAGTAATTTTTTTGGGTTTTCGAATTGGATGAGCAAGATCTACTAATTTGCGAATGATGAGAAATCTCGAAATGGTAAGGGATACTTCATACTTTCTGTCGCTAATTAGTCGATATCAACTGATCATCCATGGCAGTTATGTGATCATAGCGGAAATTACTCGGAAACGTGATCTGTAAACATTTATTTTAGTACGAAGTCGTCAAATCTCAAGTATTCTGTTATAACATCTTGCGATAATTGTGGATATTGTGCTTTAAAGCAGTCTTTCTAGTTCAGGAACTTTATAGTTTTCTAAATTTTGCCGAGAATCAATTGCTGTTTTTGATTACTTAATTTGTTAACCACTAACAAGACGAAAGTAAGTTGAGCCATATCCTGTAGATTACCTTCTACTTTTTGTGCAAATTATGGTATAAAGTTTGTAGCTGATTTCATGAAATTGAAAATTACGCAACGAATCGTGACTCTGTAAACACGGGTCGTTTCTTTTCGTTTGGAATCAGCCTAATATTATTCTCCCAACTCAAGTTAGCGTTCCTCACGTTTTTGTATAGTCTTCGTAAAGCTAACCAAAAACTTTGCGCTAATAATTCAGAAATAAATCAGTCAGTTAAGCTCACTGATGAAAAAGTGATGTATTGCTTTTCCTACTGTTTGTGTGAGGACAACGAAAAAAAGCGATGCTTCAGCAGCTCAAACAGCGTCTCACTGGTCTCTCTCCTCTCTCTATCAGTTTCAATGCAGCAGTCTTTTTCTATCTTACTTTCTTGTACTACTGCTGTCTCCTACTTTCATCAATATAAGTAGTGGATAATTACTGTATTTAGCGAAGTCATGTCACTTGCGACACTTTCTTCTCGTGTAAAAGTGGTAGACAAAGCCCTTCGAATTATGGCGAAGTTCATTAATTAGCAATTAGGACTGAGTGCTTTTGGTAAGTATCCGCCAGAAGACTATCTTGCACGAAGTGAGCAAAAAATCCTGCAAACTGCTCAGAGCTGCAACTACCCCAACAAAGCAACTTGAGAATGAACGAATAACGGATACAACTGCAGAAACTCTCTGAGTTCTGCGTGCTGTTTTCTCTGCTTAGTTCTGCTTTCTCTCCCGGTCAATATTATTCACTGACTGCATTTCATGCATTTTCTCCCTCAGCATGTAGCAGGAGGGTCAAAGGTGTGTCACTGTAATGTCATAGGTGGGGTAACTTTCTCTCTTGTTCTGTGTAACAGACTGCTATTTTGGACAGTGCTACAACAGTCTTGAAATAGCTTTTGTTGCAAAAGATATCGAGGGCCCAAGTTAGATTAACACCAAGTATTTCGACTACTCTCTGATTTGTTGCTTCGTCTCGTGAGCTTTTGTGAAGTTGTGCAACTTATGACATTACTTCTGTCATCAAACATTTTCTTATGACAATAGTGCTAATGTGTTTTTACTTTTTGTGCGTTTATCATTTCTTCTGTGTATTACATTCTGCTCTAAATCATTTCCAGACACGTGCTGTCTTTAATTTTACTGAAGTTATTACTGGTATGGGGTCATGTTTCCTCTCTTCTTTTAATCTTCAGTACTACACATAGTAACCTCGATTAAAACGTGGTTGCTTTCCATCTTTGCACCATTACCGAACTAAAAATTGATATAATATCTAAAGAAAGGAACAGTGTTTTGTTTGTAATTTAATTAAGTGTCCATAGATGGAAAGATCTGTGATTCATGTAGTCCACTCACACTTTCATATGGCACACTCCGAAGTGTATCAGTAGTTCACCTTGGCTACATTTAACCACAATTAATAAATTTCAGAAGCAATCCCAGAATTTACTTTCAATTTGTCCTTCCATCTTTGCTTCCTTTGCATGTCTCTTCAACGTCAATTCATAACTGCGTGATGTTTACTTCTAATTCATTTGCATAATGTCATGCCCCTTTTATTTTGGGTAATGATGAGAAAAGTACACTGGGAGTTTGCTCTTCTAATCGTTAACGTAAATAAAAAAACACTAAACCAACAGATGTAGTGTTTTTGCGCTGCAATACGCTCGTGGTTCTTACTTTGAACTGTTCGCGCGCATACTATGGCAAGGTAGAAGTTAGATGAAATTTCAAAGTACGACGTCTTAGAAGCGTTTGGACGATTAGAACTGTGACATGTAGTCGTGAGTAGGGGGACATTTTATTTCTTTTCTTGTCCATCTCGTGAGTCCTCAGACATTTCCGTACATTCTTTTTTCCCCTTGTACTTTCTCCATGAACTTAACATCGTTGTCAAAGCTATTTTGCAGCGTCATATTGCCTAGCACTCTCCAATTTTTAGCAATATCTTGCTACTAATTTTATTTCTGTCTCGATTGATTATTGGTTAAAATGTGCTTTTACTCGTGCTCTGTTACTTAACGTTTACATCAATGATCAGAGTGTAGAGGCATTGCGATGCAGTGCGTTGTTTTCGGATAAAGGATTAACGCAGTATTAAGGTCAAAGGTTGATTTATGTTGAAATCAGCGATATGCTGACATAGCACTTTTCTTGCATTGCAAATTTGCTGTTTTATTTGTGATTTCTTTGATCAAAAATATATAAGTAACGTATTAGCTTGTCATGGTTTTTTTTTTACTGTTTTGCATCACTTTGTCTGACTCACATCCGTCTCATTTGAAAATTAATTTTTACAACGGTCATTCACAACGTGTCACACTACTGTCGGAACAAAAAAATTGGAACTGAAAATTATTTTTATGCAATAAAATGTATTCTTGTTGTATTATCACAAGGTACCACATGCACAATCAGTCACTTTCCCGAATAGTTTTTGTTTTTTGCTACATGTAGAAAAGTGTGGATGCATCTAGTTGTAAAAGAAAAGATGTGAATGTTTTATTACTGTGTTCATTCTAATCCTTTGAAATAATCTTTGAGCCAATTAACTCACTACCTGAATTTACTTAACTTTAATGCTCCTCAGTGATTTTTGGTGATATTTAGATCAAACTTTTATTAGCTTGCTTTTAGGTGATAAGTTGTTTATTGTTTAGAATATGCGGTGCATTATAAATTATCAAGGTCGTTATTTTGAAACTACTATCTCTCATCACATTATTCAATATCAAGAACTATTCTCTTGATTTGTTAGGCAAGTTAGTTTTCTACAAATTACAAAGTATTGAAAGGAGAGTATGTATATCAGTAATGGAGAGTTCCACTGGTGCTACTTTACTATAACAAACTTTCTGTTGTTCTGTAAAATTGCGTTTTGAATAGCATCGGCTTGCAAGTAAGAAAGATTGAAAATTTCTGAAAGTGCGAAATTCATTTAAAAATTTACTTGTTTATAAATAAATATTTGTTCTTGCATCTGCCACAAAGATTACATAAATCAGTGGAAAGAACTGAGTTCTGATGGTCGCAAAAATTTTTTTACTTAAAACGAAGTGTCCATTTTAATTATACATTTAGGACTTGGTTTGTTTATTTTAGTTTTTAGACCATTTGTTTACATCAATTCAGGGTTCATATTTTTGATATGGTGCACATTTATTAGTGATTAAAAATGATTTTAAGTTTTTTCTGTACCTGAGTGATTTTCTTGTAATATGCCACTTTAGAAAGGATTATGTATTGTGCAATAGTATGATGTTTTGTCATTGTGCAGTTTACTCGAATTTCGTATTATTCGACGTAAAAAATGATGAATGCAGAATATTTGAAGCTATATTTTTTTGGGAGATAGAAGATAGTGTTGATTTTTACAGTGTAAATATAATGTGAGCAGGCTATTTTGTGAAGTTTAATTTAGAAACTAAAGGATTATTCTTTTTTGCATTCTTCACAATGTTTTCTACTTTATAAATTTCTTTTGAAATTCTCACATATGTAGTTACCAATACTGAGAAGTGCAAAAAGCGCAACCTTTATGTTTGTGAAATATAATTGCTATGAAGATAGAAAATTGGGATGAATTGGAATTTGAAAGAAGTTATGATTCTCATACAAGTAGTGACAGAAACCATAATTTTATCAGTTATGAGAATCAGTTTGACATTTTCTCAAATTGATTTTCACAACTGATAAAATATAACAAAATATGTGCAACATTTTATTTTTTTAACTAGAGCATGTGCGGCAGTAAAAAAAAAGTTACTCAGCTTTAAACGCAGAGGAAATCTACAACACTATTGATTGTGTACTCTTGCAGCCTCCGATGGGGTATTTTAGAATTGGTTTTTTATTATTTGACTATAATGTTAATCATCCGAGGGATATAGTATGTGATGTATTTTATGTCATCGTGGAATTTTAATCATCAGTATTTATAGGTGAATAGTTGATTGAAATTCCGTTTTGGAGGTCAATTTGAGAAAATGTCAAAAGCTTCCCAGGTGCTCATGATTGAGCCTTCACATGAACTCACCTTTAAAGGTCTTTTTCGTAGGAATTTTAATTTGCTTGGAATTTTGATTGCTTTTATGTATTACTTAAGCTCCGTATTCTTTTTAGATTATGCCAGCAGAAAATATCAAAAATGTAAGAAATTTGTTCCTTCATTTTTGTGCAGTACGAGTTATATACACTTAATAGCTAATATTAACTGATCAGTAATGAGATCTAGTTGTTTTCCACCTTTAAAGAGCATTTTAAGCAATTTTATATTTTCAGGCCCTTTTAATGATGTGGTTACTTGTGATATGAGGCTTACGAATCCCACTGATCGCCCAGTTTGTTTTAAAGTTGGTGCAGTCGAATTACTTTTTTAATCTTGTTAAAAACAATCGCTGTTGCAAAAAAAAAAAAGAGAAACGACAACATGTACATGGTTTTAAGCTACACACGTCTTATATAAGTCACACGTTTAAGTTCATCAGTTATCGTTCAATCGCCAAAAATGGTTTCAAATATTCATTATTTAGGTGAAGACAACAGCTCCAAAACAGTACTGTGTTCGACCAAATTCTGGTTTACTTGCTCCGGGAGAGACATGGAATGTAGCAGTCATGCTTCAGCCTTTTGATTCTATCGGGAACATAGAATTGGAGCACTCAAAACATAAATTCATGGTACAAAGCCTTTATGCACCATCGTGTGATTCTTCGTTAGGTATGAGTCTATATGTGTATCCTCGTGTTTACTATTTGCTGAAACATATCTTGAGTTTTTAAAAAAAAATATTGATGTCAGTAAAAATAAAAACATATTTTTCACGTACTCAAGGACAGTTTCTCAAATTGTGCAGGTTTATAAAAATTTTATGACTTAAAATTAAAAAAATGCGTTTAGATTTATGTTTAGTAATTTCATTTTTGTGGCCGTAACAAGTAATATAGTTACTGCAAACAGCTGGTAGGATTTCTTTTTATGTCATATTTTTACTGACATCAACTAGTGCGAATTAGTAGCGTAGTGGTGTGTCGTGTGCTAGGTAAGATAATACACTACCTGGGTTCGGATTTATTGTGTAGCATGGCGCAGTGATTTAAAATTGGCGACTTATGTCTGAGACGAACTGACGTGCCTCGTCTGAATAAGACGGAACCCAAGGCTTTGGATGTTCGTCACCGGATGCAACTTCCCGTCGCTGTATGAGCGCCTTACTTTATGTAAATGAGTTAGATACGTTGCAGTTAAGAAACGGAGCCTTAATCATGTTACAGGATAAGTCGATATCTGAAGCGTAAAATACTAGTTCCCTAGAGTGTGTGACTTTAGTATAAATATTGTAGACGATATTTGGAAAAATGCACAGTCTTCGGAGCTTATGGACTCTAAGTTGCGAGTTGTATTTGAAAATCCTCCGACTATGGAATTTACAAGAGACAGGACACCACCACGGGTGTCGTCAGAATCAAAGTCTTATATAGCTGGCCCCGTTACGGTAACTCTTACATATTGTATATATCATAAAAAGATTAAAAGAAATATTACTTTTTTTTGATGTCAAATAATAGAATTTATATCGAAAAATGTATTCTTTTGGTTTATTTTTTCTTTTGGCTTTTTTGTTTGGAATAGAAAAGGGAACTGAAATTTAGGATATGGATGCTGAGATGCGTCGTGTAACTGAAGAGAAAAATAAGGCAGAAGCTGCGAAGGCCAACTTAGAAAGAGATAACAAAAGCCTTAAAGTGCGTGTAAAATTATTTTCAATCCATTAATTTTATAACAAGCTATATCGAAAACATATGTAGTAAACAGCACTGCTTTTTAGATCCGACTTGCTGAGCTTGAAGCAATTCCGCAAGTTACGGGTATTCAGATATCAAAAAGCGGATTTGAATTGCTTCATGTAAGTTTTACAGCTTGGAAAATATTACGGTTTCAAGTTTATAAGTTTTTGCATATTTATCATTACTTTGAAAAAAAACTATTTTTAAATATTTGGATTTGTTTGCATAATTTTTCTGAACGAGGGTCAAGGTATGCATTAAAATGATAGTGAGACTGTTATTTTACGAAATAATTTCTTCATTCATAATCCTAGGTCACTAAACAACAACAAAAATGGTAGTTCGCAGCAAATCGTGGCTTTAGATTTTATAGTAATATGGCTAGTCTTTATGTAATTTTTTTTTCGAAATATTTTCTTGGTTTTCAGCTGGTGTTAGCTCTTGTGGTCGGACTCTTTGTGGGGATAATTCTCTGCTATGGCAGGAATCTTTTAAACCCATGTTAAAAAGACAAATAAGCTAAGTCAATCTAACTGAGCGGAGTGCTGAAATTATCGGTCAGAAAAACTTTAAAATTTCTGGAATTTCTAGTGTAAAATTCATCTCATTCTGCGTTTTTGATATTTTGTTATTTAGTTATTTCGTTTGATTCTTTTATTTCAGTCCATGTAGTTTGTTTTAATAATCGGAGCTCAGTAGACTTCACTAAATCTTATGTCTACTTTTTGACTGACTACTTGTTTATCTATAGTTATTGTATTGATAAAAGATTTCATTATTTTACTACACTTATGAAATGTGGTTAAAAAATAGAGTGAAAAATACTGTTATTCAGAAATTGTCTGGCTTTCACTGTATTGATTTTAGCGTTTTAGCTTCTTAAGCTTTTTATGCCTATGTGTTTGTGGTATCTGTATCATTTAGATGCACATCAATAATGTCTTTAAAAAAGCTCACTTCAATGTAGAATGTGCGAAAGAAATGTACTTTTGCATTTTAAAGTCATTATGTTCAGAGAGTCCTTAGTTTTACTGCTGTTTGAGTTATCTTGTTAATGAAAATTTGAGAGCAATTGGGATTAGATTTGCAGTAATATTGTTTCTTCGCTTATGATTATGCTTTTGCCTTGTTAAATAGAACTATAAGCAATGATCACTTGAAGAATATCACCTTGTATTTTAAGTTCTAATTGTGTCTGTTGAAATAAGTCTGCAAGTTGATCCGAATTTGACTGATTTTGATTCTGCTATAAATATCTTGAGTAATAATTATATTAAAATAAAGATTATGTATTAGAAAGTTAGAAATTTTTAGGAGGGAATGATATTATTTAACTGAAAAGGTCTGGCCCCTACTTTTCTGTTTTTTGTGACCGATATTTCAACTGTGAAGTTATTTAATGTCTTTATATTTTTATCTTTTCACCTGTCGAATCAGTCCTTGTGTGTTTTCTGTGGAAATAAATCGTAATTGAGTGTAGTTTCAATAGTTTCACATTTTGTTAAAGAGATTTATTCCTATAAGTTGCGTCAAGTAATTTAGACGGGATCGATACTCTATCGAGAATGCTTTCCTCGCTATTTCTTCATTGATGGGTTATCTAAAGTCCTGATTCAAAACACAGCTAGAAAAGTTTACTGGAGTCGGAACTGAGTTGTGAGATGAGTCCTCAATTTTTTCATTTGAAGGTTCGTTCCATGGGGACAAATGGATTTTCATGAATATATTGTGCGTTACTCACTGAGGCATGATTACGTAAAGGTCGCTCGAATGCTCAACCATCCACTTGATAGTAAATTGCATCTTGAATTCGCTTTCTTTATCATGAAAAATATTGTAAACCATCGGAATTACACTCACTACTCAGTTGTCCGAGAGCTAGCGAAGCAGCTTTCAATGTACAAACTTCCGTGGGCAAGTCATGAGCGTGATGTGTGTGCCATTGAACGGGCAGCTGCATATATTGTAAGCGAGTTTCATATCCTGCATTGGATATTGATAATCATGGAGCATGTCCTGGCATTGTTTTACTGTACAGATGGCTTTTAATGTATTAGAATTTAGTGAAAATGAGGTAGAAGTTTAATTCAATTTTAGATGTATCACAAAATCATCCATTTCCTGATAGCATGTTTGATTTTGGAGGATACCCTGTGAATAACTCTAATTCAGTCATTAACTATCATTCATAGATAATTGCAGGTACTGATGAAAGATCTTATTTCTATTAACGGTGACGAACAAGCGAAAGCGAGTTTTATTTCTTCCGTTAGAGAATTTTTGCCTGATACAAACCGATTCAAGGTATGTTTGAGAACTTGTGTTATCACATGCAATGGGAACATTTACATCGCATAACTTTTTTGTCTTTCTTTGTAGAAGCATTTAAGTTCACTTTAAGATTTTTTATTTTTCATTTCAGTAGTATTAATAAAGTTTTCCATCCCTAAGTCATATTATTACCAACACTTCAAAACTACATTTATTGTAATGTTTCTAAATTAATGCATCACTAAACTAATTCAACATTTTTGGAATAGAACTTTAAAAAAACTCATTCTCATGATTTGTAAAAATTATTGAAGTTGAAAAGAGATCTCAATATGCTTTGAGATCTGATCATCTCAGAAGTTAACGTTCGTACAAAAAACTTATCCTGCGTTCATCAAAACGTCTTTTTTTGCCTGTTTTCTACAGTTTAAATTCGTCTTCAGGAACTGGATGCAGAAGTGCGGAAGAGTCGCGTAACTCTTTTAGCGGTAATAATGAAAGAACATCGAATAAGCCGACTGCAATACGAATTTAATACACGAGCAGAGAAAATTTCGAAACAAATCAAAGAACGCTTAGAAAATCTCCAGAATGATTTACTTCCACAACTTGAAGATTTTTCAGCACAAAAGTGGGCAGAAAGCAGTCAGCCTGAACAAGTTGCCTTATCTGAAATTGTCGCATCCAATGGTGTATGTGAAGAAAGTTTGCTACTCTATTATGAAGTGCTTCAGAATACGCCAAGTATGAGTGCCGATTTCTTTCGTGTAAGTACTGATGACATTTTTGCTAAACGACATGAAGAGTCTAATTTTGTAATTATTGACTAGATAAAATAAAATATTACAAGTGTTTTCGAATCTTATGAATGAGTGAAATCAAACTAGTCCTTTTGTACTTTTATCAGAAATGAATTGCACTACAAATATTTCGCTTGTCTTTTCGAATCTTTACAAACAAGATCCAATGAAGAGACAACCTTTTTTATCTGATAATGCAGAAGTTATGTGTTGTACATTTACGGTATGCAATTTGAAAGGCAAATACTGCAATGACAGATTGTAAAATCATTAAAAAAACATATGTGTTTATATAAATAAACATGAAAACGAAAAAGTACACATATATTTTTACGAAAATCTGGAATGCTTTGAAAAATGGGTTATATTAACATGTCAGCAAAAATAAAGATTTTTACATTGAAGTAGTTCTCATTCCTCACAACTGCTATAAAGACATAAGAAAAATATATGTAACTAAACTTTTTTGTGTGAGATGGTAGATGAAATGCAGTTACGGAATATGCAATTTGTTATTAACAATGCAACACAAGAAACAAGAAGAGAAATTGATTCAAAAATGAATTTTGGAGCGAAAATCTTCCACATCATTAAATGTCGTCGATGTATGGTGGCCATCAAGCAAGCAGAAATCGCCTAAAATCTAGCTTTAATTTTTAAACTTTCAGTTACAAAACGTGTCATATGCATACAAACAATTTTAATTTCACAAATTTTTTCATACAAGAGAAGATCTATATACATAAGATACGTTATTAGGACAACTTAAAACATCTTGGTAAATCCCAGTTTCCATAATCTTTCTTTCACAGAACTCAAAGTTGTATAAAGTATGAATCGAGTTTAGCCTGTCATAGATCCAATACCACTACAGTAATTTACGTCTGTCATTTCTTTTTGAAATTAGAAGAAAAAAACTTCAAAACTGCTTGAGGTATAATTTATTTTTATTTAAATCCATTAATCAATTTTTCCTACCTTCAATGAATTAAATAAGAGCAGCTTGTAAGTCCAGTATGAAAGACCCAATTGTGAACGACTTTGACAAGCCACAAGCATGGGCAGTACAATACAAGTAAGAATTTGTGATGCAAAAATATGAGCAATAACGAGAGCAGCAGGTACTACCAGTGGGGTAAAATTACCAGGAACACCAACAAAAGCAGCATGCCAGGGGATTGCTGTAAAGACTGGTTGATGCGATAAAGCAAAAAATCCATGTGATGATAAGAATGCAATAAATGCTAACTGGTAATGTTCTGAAACGGATTTTGGAACGTTCGTTTTGCAGTACTTTTTGCTTCATTATTGCTGAAGACTTATGGAATAAATATATATTAATCAAATTTGACCAAAAATAAACTGGGTTTTTTTCATTCAATAAAAATTTGAAAACAAATCTGGGAAGAACAAATATTTCGAGTCTCTTATAAATAAGTTTGATTTTTCGTCAAAATAGTTTGTGAAGAGCACGTAAGTGGCATACCGTCGTCAACTACATATGGGATAAGCATGACTGCAGTAATTAACAAAATAAAACTGGATGCAAGGCCATCATCCAAAATTAATAGCAAAACAGATGATATACACACAATGTATGACATTGTGCAGCCAATATGATGCCAGAATTTTCCTCTATTTAGAGTAGCACGAAAACAAATTGTCATCAAATTAATAAAAGAGAGCCCGTAAACAATCTGAAAGCATCATTTTTTGCAGAAATTTTTTCAACTTCAAGAAAAAGGTGTTGTTGCTTTAGTTTAAGCAAACAGTACCAAGGACCAATTACAAAAATCAGAACTCACTTGGGCTGTAACTAATGAGAATGAAGCAAAGTACTCAAGAGTATCTTCAGGAAGCCAATGAGATATCCACGATGCTACACCAGTGACTGCTGTAGGATAAATCAAAGCTGAAGTCATTGTTTCAGATGGATACTTTCGCAAAGCTTTCTTCGCAAAATAAGCAGCAATAATTATTACCGAAACACCGAATAGAGATCGCATAACTTTGTATGGACCTAAAATAATATAACTGGTTTAAATCAAAATATAGTTCAGATAAAAATATGAATACGGTATATTTATTGGAGCTTTCCCACAGAACGAGATCTCTTAATGTGCCGTAATACAATGATTCATATGCTTTTTGTTTTTTGTAAACAATGCTTACCATGAGGAATCCGTGAAAACGATCTCGAGAATATAGTAGCTTCACATGAATTTTGCTGCTCCTCACGACATTTTTCAAAAATAATGCCTATGCGTAAAATTGCAACTATGATAATGAAAGCAAATGAACGCTGCCAACCAAAACGAATTTTTAAAATATCCAAAAATGATTTTAATCTTTGTCGACAATTAAATTTTCTGTAAATACTTAATATCATTTTTTTGTTAGGACTATTTTCCAAGTCTTGTTTCGGAAAAATGACGAATTACTTGAACGGCCCACTTTTGTTACTGCATTTTTAGATTCCAAAACATTGGGCAATTTCAAGTCAAAATGTCACAAAATTAAAGAACTGAATAACTGCAAACCTGTTTAAAAACGATTGCCAAAATGCAATAACAACGACAGTTTGCGTTAGAAAACGCACTATAGATGATTCGAAAACAATGAAACTGTTTGAAAAGAAGGACGATGCATAGGCCACAAAGATACAAAAAACAGAAATTTCCCAAAATTTTGCCGTAAACGAGAAGAATGTTCTAGCTGCTCGAATTAGTTGGATAATGAGAGAGAATGATAACAGGAAGTCCAAAATCGCGATGTAATTCTCTTCATCTCCAATTAAGAAAGTTGATGCTTGAAGTAAAAATAACCCGGAACGGAAAACCAACGAGGAGAATGAAATGCTAAAGGAGATAAATAGTAACAATTGATGATGTCAGTTATGGAAGATATCAAAGACTGCATAATTATTTAACTGAAACTTTGCCAGTATAGAAACCAATGATTCCTAAGTAGCATCAGTCCTGACAAGTTACTAATAATTTGCAATAATAACTGATAAATTATTATGGGCTGTACTTCTACTTTGGAATACAATTAAAAGCTTGCAAAAGAAAAAAAACTAACTTTCCTGCATACAGAGAATTATAAACTGCTAATGTGGTGTCAAGTAATGACAAGAAGCCAATGCGCATGAAGTTTTCATTGAATTCAGTCCAAAAAGAACGTAAAAGTTCTTGCAGTTGATGCATGTACTCAAGAGAATTTTCCAAATTTCCATTTTGCTCGAAATTACGTATTAACAAATCTAGTTCAGGCAACTGTGTTTGTGCTACGACAGTTCGTCCATAGCGCATCATTTGCTCAGCATTACTGCTGATTGCCATTGCTCGGTGTTTCTGCACTACAGTACAGTCGATTAAGGTCCCAATGTTAGAATATGGAATCGGTGAATCAAGCAACAAACTAATTGTTGGCACAATATCAACCTGAAACAAAAATTCCAAAAGAAAGTAAGAAAAAAAATTCATAGGGAAATTTAAATCTACCATGGAACATGAGCTCTGATTTCACCCAATTTCACATAATCAATCTAAAAATTCGCAATAATTTTTTCATTTTACAGTCAAACTATCAAAAAAAATCTAGATTTCAGTAACATTCTATTCAAATTTTTCTTCAAAGAAAACACTACAAAATAATATTTCAAACTGCATCATAAGTTTTTCTTTACGATGAATAAATACATTCATTAACTTAACAATATGCTACGATAAAAAAGAGACCTGTGAAACAGATATGGGTGGCTTTCCAAAAACTACTTGCTTCTTTGCATACATAAATAGTGCTGCATCAATTTCTTGTGGTTCATCACCTCCATGGTCTCCGCTATTGGTCATACCATGATCACCCATTACTATTAGTAAAGTTTCAGTATCTAAGGAACTGATGACCTTAGCCAACATCTCATTCATTTGCTTCAATTTTTTAAGCATTTCTGGATGGTCAGGACCATATTTATGACCACAGTGGTCAACTCCAAGGAAATGTGCAATTAATACAGTCCAATCTGATTTTGCAAGTTCGTGATAAAGATTATCTATAATTTATATAGTTTAGAATACTCTTAACGAAATTATCATCAGAAAAGTTGGTATAATGAAATGTACCTAAAATCATTCGATCAACAGTATTCAAGTCGTTCACATCGAAAGACGGCAAATGATAACTACGCTTGAAGTGATTTGGATAAAGTGAAACCCTGAATAAAAACTAAACAGATAAGAAAGTATTAAATTTAAGTTGGCTGCAATATTCAGTTATTCAGTTTCTACATCAATGGATTAAGAATTTACGGATTCTTAACACTGATGAACAAGCCTAATAAATACTTCTGCTGTTTCAAAAAAGATTTTTTACAATATATGGAAATTTGTACAACTTGGCACTTTTAACACTGATAAGATACATAATTAATTTACCACGTATCGTCCCCAAGAAAAACAATGCTTCTATTTGTTTCAATAATTTCATCGATCCAGTTATCTTCTAGGACAGCATAACTAGCGAAATTTGAACCTATATCAATAAACGTAGGAAGAGAACCAGTAGTTAACGCTTTCAAGCGTTGCATTGTCGTGGTAGGAGGATCAGCAATGAAATGCATCAAAACTGCAGATTCTGAATTTATAATTTGATTACAGTGAATATTGAGAATTTGGTCTGACATTAAAAACTTATTTATCAATGTCAGCTTTATTCCTATTGCTTTTGAAATGATTGGTTTCCTGCTTTGATTTTTCATTCACCAATCATTAGTATAATCATTTCAACGTACAGATTCAGTATAATTACCATTGTTATAGTTTCTTGTGCTAATTAATGGTAATTTTAATATACCTCTATCGACATTACTACAATATAGAACGCAGTGAATGATTTAACAAAATTATTTATAATAAAATAAACTTACCACTTTCACGAATGAGCAAATGAGTAATGGTAGGGAAATGACCGGAATATGACTGATTGCTATAAGTGGTATTTAGCTGGGTTGGTTTAACAAAATCATAACGTAAAGCATCAATGACGATAAACACAACCCGCTGATACTGAGCTGGAAACCAACAAGCACCTCGAGAAGCAACATCTGAACATGAGCTTCGTGAAGTGACCTCCACTCGTTTGAGCAAAATACCATGTTGAAAAAGCAACAACGAGATTAAGAAAGAAATACCGAAAAACGCAATATTTATGAGATGGACCTAAAAAATTACGGAAAAAAATTTGATATTGTAGCCAAAACACAATAAAATTTAAATTTAACAAGCACCATTAACAATAAATATGATGATATTTAAAAAGTTCCAGAGTTTGAATTTGATAAATTTATAACTATTTTTCTTCGGACTAGAACACTGGTTTGCCTTTCGATTTTGACTTTTTCAATTTTAATTAAAGATTCAAGTTTATATAAGTAAACACTGAAATTGATATCTCTTACATATTGGCTAATCATCTGTTCGAATTTGAACATGGCACTTCTGGAATAGAGACTAATGGAATTTGTCGAAAATGTCGTAATTCTTCAGGCAAATCTTCTGGATCTAAAAATGGATTCTAACTATAAAATAGCACTTCTTGACAACTTTCTTTTACATGAACATTTGTTTTTTCAATATCCTTTTCAAAAAAGCATAAGCAGTTTGAACTAACACACTATTTTAGGCTTCTTGAACATAATGCCTTTAAAATATATTTGTAAGCGAAGCTATTTGAAGTAGTATTATCATTACTGGTTAACCATTTAATTCAATTTAAATTGTGCTAAATAGAAACATTAGCAAGAATAACCATCAGAATAATCCAAGGATACAAATCTGATAAAGTCCGTCGTGGATGGCAGAGAATGAATATCCGGAATTCTGCATAGAGCTTTTTGGCAACTTTGTTCACTTTTCAAAGCAACTTTTTCGAAATATCCTTCTTTCTGTTTCTGTTTTCCACCTAATACTTTTCTCTTTGCTTCTCCTCTTTTATTTTCCAAACTCACAATTTTGGGTTTTGTTTTCTTTTTACTTTGTGCTCGTTCAATCTCAACTCTTGCCTTCTCTTCCGACAGATTTCTAATTTTTCCTGCAGTTTTTTGCAATCTTAAACTCCTCCGTTGTGTACTATTGCTATTATTATATGTCTGCTTTTCTATTCCTTTCCCTTTCTGATGTTTGTTCTCAACAAGTTTGAAGTCATCGATGATTTTACTTTGCGTTGATTGTAGTTCCAACTTTTGTCTGTGTTCTTCTTTACGCTGTTCATAAAGTGACTGCAACAATGCTTTCTTTACATCACCTCTGTTGAATCCTTCCTGTAATTTGTATAGTAGTTGTGGATTTTAAAATTACTGACACTTTTCATAATTTCGATTTACATGCAAACTTTAACATACTGGAAATAAATACTTGCCTCGCAACAGAAAAGCAATTTTAGGTAAACATGCATGTAATGTTATTAACTGAAAAAATTTTGCGAATTTCGCGCAAGACTAGAAACACGTTCCTAATCTTTCAAATGAGAGAAAGTTATTAGCCAAATTACATAATATTATATATGACATAATATTATATATGTAATTGAGCCACTGAGCAACTATACTTAAACTTGACCGAGCCATACATATGTTGATGAGCGGTTGAGTTGTCGGCTGATAGAATTGTTTCACAAAGCAGGAGATAGAGGATCAACTCAAAAAAATCGAGCCTTGAATCATAAATGAATTATATATATATAATTGTTTTTCATGTGTTTTCATCGTTCTCGCTTCGTCCTCGTGGAATCCATATGGACTGTCGAAGCAGATGCTTTCCAGCGTCTTCTTGAGAACTATCGATTGGATGTAGGCTTCGACAGGTATACTAATATTCTTCGCATAGCATTCGTGGAAGTTCGTTACAATCCCATTCCAAGTCATCATATACGGAATTATTTTGGTCCTGCATTTCTTCATCTCTGACCCAAGCTTATTGGCAAGCAGGTCTTAATTTTCGCCTTTTCTCGGTCTTGACTGCTGTCGACCTGTCCTGACTAGTGATGCTCCTGACTAGTGATGCCAACCTTAGTCAGCATTACTTAACGTCGCTTCCTACTGTGTATCATAATATCGGCTTGATCCGCTTTTATTCTAATTGCAGTCTTACTCAAGTATCGACTCTGATCTCAACATGCTCATTCGCGACGACCTCTTGAACAGAATGGCATCGCAAGCGCATGTTTTCAGACGATACTTCTTGCAGAGTGCCAAGTAGATGCATCGTACCTCAGTGTGTCTTTTAGTATAGTCGTGATGTAACATTTTTTCGCACTGCGTAGCTAGATAGTCCATCGTCTTCACACGTTTCCCACAATGTTGGCACATACCTTTCTCAGCTCCAAGCATATTTCTATCTTGAGATAACAGTATCGTGCTTCATTTTGCGGAGAAATGTTTCTGTATTGTAGCCACATTGATGAATCAACTATAGACGAGATTTTATTCGTCCGCATCTCGTATAGCTTTGCATGGTGAGTTTTCTATTTCGCTATACAAGAACGCCTTCTAGGTTGCTAATACGTTTTCAACAGTAGGATTATCTGTGAAGTTGTACCTAGTCCTTAGATAGGACACAATAATTGCCAAGTACGTACTAAGCTTTCTCCTGCTTGAGAATCGCTGTCCTTCAGGTACATATAGGTGCGGTATCTACAAGAACATTATGTAATTGGAGAAGGATAAGCTCACTCTTCTGCTCAACATTATGAAGTCTACGTCCTATCTCGTCCCTTCACAGGTGTAGCCTTTCCAAGCATGCAGATTGCTTGTGAATTACGTATTTGATTAGTAACTGTCTGATATCGTGGTCTATAGCCTTGAAGTCTTCCGGCTTCAGCTTGAGCAACCCGACGTAATAATTTATTAGATCTATGGCGTGCTCATTCATAGCTTTGATAAAGTTCTTGCCATTTAGTGCAGTTCTGGGAAACCACTCAATTCTCACTAAAATCTCTGCACGGACTTTATCGTAGCTTTCACTGGTAGGTGCACTAGTTTCGTCTTCCACTACCCCAAGGTATTTGTACCCTCCTTGAGTTCCTTCCAACAGCGCCGCTTTATCAGCGCATATCTCGGTATTAGTGGCTGACTTTGCTGAATTTACTTCTAGTCCTACCAC